CTCCATACACTATGGAATTTTACTGAAGTTTTCCAGCAAACTTAACAAATATAAAAAACAGATGATACAATGCAAGGTTTCATCAAACCGAAACTCTATTCTGAACATCTAAATTTACTAAGTGTATGCCCATGATATATATTATTGTACTATGCATATGATAAATCATCACTTATTGTTTTTATGATTTACTCTAGGAAAAAGCTCTTTATTATTACAGTTCCACGTTGCCTACAGCATTATTATTCCTTTTGATATATCAGTGGCCTGATTTACTGATTAAAAATGATATAATAGTTTTGACAGCAACTAACTTAATATTCATCAATGAGTGCACACTACACATTTTAGCAAGAGTATATATTTGGAATTTGTATGTAAATGCATGGTCTCAGATATTAAAAAGTCTATTATAAACAAAATGCAAACATACTTCCAATTTTATTTGCAGCATCTTCCAGTGTCATGTTTTTGGACCAGAATGGTTGTAGTGTCTCTAAAGTAATTTCTTTTCCTTTCTTACCCTTCACGTTATTATTTTGAGGGATCTGACTCTGCTCGTTTTCTGAATCACGATGACTGTTATATCAGTTCAATTCCTAATTTTCTTCTCTCATAAACAATTCAGTTCAGTTCAGTTCTGCTCAGTTCAGTAAATCAGAACAGACCCTTAATCTAGGAATGTATGACAAAATGACGCGCAAACAAGTATAATTAATGTACATTTTCATTTGTTTTTTCTATTTTTAGCTCCTTATATGTAGCCCTTAGGGCTATGTATAGAATTTTCTAAAGCTGGGAACGGGCCGGGATGGCCCGCGTGCCGCCCGGCACGGCCCGCCGTTCGTCGCAGCCCGGCACGGCCCGATCCCCAGCCCGACCCGGCACGCCAGTCGAGATTCGTGCCACGGGCGTGCCACGGACAGTGTTCTGGAATTGCAGGCCCGGCCCGGCACGAGCACGGCCAGGGCCCGGCGTGCTGGCCCGCCGTGCTGACACGTCGGCCCGGCACGTGGCACGAAGACCAGGCACGGCATTCGTGCCGGCCCAGCACGGCCCGCGTGCCCACCTTGGTTTATAACGGTAATATTACCGTTTTTTGCACATAATTAGCCAAAAAACGGCTAGTTTTTGGCCATCTAGCTCCCCAAAAATTCTATAAATACCCACCTCCATTTCATTTCCAAATCACAAAATCACAATCTCTTCTTCTTATCTCTTAATCTCTTATATTCTCTAATAATCCTTTTTTCTAAAATTCTCTAATTATTCTCTAATTATTTTCCTAATATCGGAAAAAAATTAAAAAGTTCGTAATCGTAATTAGTGGAGCATTGAAGCACGGTTGTAAGATCTAAACTAATCATTAATTTATTATTTTTTTATTGTTATTATTAGAATAATCTTGTTTAATTATTATTGTTGTTAATTGTTATTATAATTGTTATAATTGTTGTTATTAGTTATTATTATTGTTACAATTATTGTTATTATTTTTTTATTGTTGTTATTGTTATTGTTATAATTGTTGTTATTAGTTATTATTATTGTTATTTTTATTGTTAAAATTGTTGTTATTAATTATATTATTGTTAATCAGTTTTTATTAAAAATCTAATTGTTAATTATGGCATCGAACAACCCATCATCATCTAGGGGGGGGAAAGGCCGACTTGGCCGTAGTAGTAGCTCTAGAGAACCACCTAATACAACGAGCCCCCAAATTCCGAGTCCAACCAATGACCCCGGTTACTCCCCCCCGGGCTATGAGCCATTTAGGCACGATGGTAGTTCCGGTTTTCAACCCTATTATATGTCGGGATTTCCACCACCACCACCAAACCAATTTTCACCATCAAACCAATTTCAAAATCCACAACAATTCCCACAATTCGGTCAATTCCCGCCTAATTATTTTGGTGATCAACAAAACTATTATTCTAGCCAAAGTAGCCAAGAAAGTACCCAAATTCCCTCCGGTTCTACCCCTTCTGTTACTACTAACCCAAACACACATCATGAATGGTTCAGCGAAAGTGAGATGGTACTTTTGAAAAACCGAAGGAGTGAGGTATGGCGTCATTTCGTCCTAAATAAACCCAACCAAACATATGCAAAATGTAAAACATGTAATGGTGTATTCACGGCACTATCCAAATCCGGGACGGGACACCTAACTAGACACATGAAAGCTTGTGCAAAACCAGCTATTGATCCGACCCAACCAAAAATTTCCCAATACCATCCACACGGCTTCACCTACAACTATGAGAGGGATAGGGATGAACTAGGGAAAATGATAGTACACGCCGAACAACCTTTTCTTTTCTCGGAAAGTGACCCATTTAACACCTACATTAACAAAGCACTACAACCCCAACATAAAAGAATATCTAGGAAAACCGTTCGTTCGCCGCCATGAAAAACTACCTAGAGTACAAATTGCGGTTACAAGCCGAATTGAGTAACCTTAACTGTAGAGTGTCTTTGACAGCCGATTCTTGGGATAATGGTTATAAATATCACTATTTATGTGTGACTTGCCATTGGGTAGATGATCAATGGTTGTTACAAAAAAGAATAATACATTTCAAAATGCTGGAATACCCACACACCGGCATTAACATTGCTCACCATTTAATGCAAGCAATAGACGAATACAACCTTCGAGATAAAATGATGTCTATGACTTTTGACAATGCAACCTCTATGACATACACAGCTAATCTTGTCAAACAAAACTTAACCGATGTAATATTAGACGGTGATGCTCTTCATACTAGATGTGTTTGCCATGTACTTAACTTATGTGTACAGGATGGAGTTCGGGCAATTGGCCCATACTACAACAAAATCAGAGATGCTATTATGTCTATTAATAGCTCAAACATGAGGTACCAAGAATGGAAGACTTTTCTAAGACAGCAAAAGATAAGGGCAATAAAAATCAAAACCGATTGCCCAACTAGGTGGAATTCCACCTATGACATGTTAACTAAGACAATTGAGTACAAGGGCCCGTTAACAATATTTTACAACCAAAAATTTCCACAAAATGCTTTATATGATGATGATTGGTATAACTGTGAAAGATATATGCAATTTTTACAGTTATTATATAACATGACGTATTGTTTTTCTTCTGTTTACAGTCCTTGTGCTCAAAACTTTCTTTCTAATGCATGTTTACTCGCCCAACTTTTCGCTGATCATCGCAACCAAAGTGATTATGATCAGTATCTTCCAGCAATGGAAACAAAGTGGCGTAAATATTATAGTGAAATTCCTTTGATTTATATTTTTGCTTCCATATTAGATCCTAGGCAAAAGTATGAAAACACATTTATGTTAGTTGACATTTATTTTCAATGCCTGAATCTTGACGATGATGTAGAAACGTATAAGAGTATTGTGAAGGATCAGTTTTTTGCTTTATATGGAGTCTATGAAAGCAAATATGGCACCGCTCCTCGCTCAGGGCCTTCCCAACCATCCAAAAACGTAAGTAAGAAGGCCAAACATTTATTTTCACAGGCTACTAACTTAATTTCAAGGTTTTCAGGTGATTCATCAATCAGGAGAACGCAAAGCGACGTCTCGGAGTTGCAGATGTACCTGAGTTATGACTTCACCAAAGGCATGGACGACGATGAGATTAACAGCCTCGACCTCCTTGCATGGTGAAACAACAAAGCACGAAGCATCCAACTTTGGCGGCAATGGCACGAGACATTCTTGGTATCCAAGTCTCCTCTGTTGCCTCCGAATGAGCTTTCAGCGCATCCGGAAGGGTTCTGGACGATAAAATAACAAGTCTAAAACCCGAAATACTAGAAATGTGCGTGTGTTTCAAAGATTGGTTGGATGCGGAAAATCGCTCACAAGACCGTTCTTACGAGGACAACGACAACGATGAAGGAACCTCCGCTTCCGACCGTTCGGGTTCAGCTAGTTCCCAATCTATCCAACTAGCCGATGAAGCCGAAGCCGAAGCCGACGACGAAGACGAGCAAGAAGAAGAATAAACAATTTTTGTATATTGTACGATTTTAATCATTATCAATATTATCATTTTCCAATTTTTGTTTAATACCATCATTGTACGATTTTTATCATTGTACAATTTTCTCAACTCAAGTAATAATAATATGAAGTACGCATTATTCACATCCAAGCCCAATTTGCCTTTTTTCCCCGTTTTGTTATAATTTGTAAATTCATATTAAAAAAAATAAAATTATACCAATTACTAATACAAAATTATATTTAATAAATCATAAACATTAAATTTTAAAGTAATAGTATAGATAAATATATAAATATAAATATTGAATATATAAAATTATAAAACATAAATATTCAACTTATAATTATAAAACTTAACCTTATAACTTATAAAAATTATAATTATAATTATAATTTTATAACTTATATACATTATAATATAAGTTATAATGTTGTCACTTTTTTTAAAAAAAAAAAAAAAAAAAAAAAAGGTTGGAAACTGCCAGCCCGCTGCCGGCCCGCCAGGCTGGCACGTGGCCGGCACGGCACGAGCCCGCCAGGCATGAGGGCCGTGCCAGGCCGTGGGTTGGCCTGTGAGAATGGCCAGCACGGCACGACACGACTTCCTGGGCACGGCGGCACGATCGGCACGGCACGCCGGAGCACGTGCCCGCGGCGGCCCGGCCCGGCACGATGCCCAGGTTTAGAATTTTCGAAAGAAAAATATTTCAGCAGGAAATTATTTAATCAGAGAACTAATTTATAGTTGTGGTTTTCCTAGAAACTATATGTTCATGAAAACTAATGTTTTATTGAAAACAATCAACCGGGGCCTAAATAAACGGCCCATAGTCATACTCTTTGCTAGTCCAGAGCACAAATGTTAACTGACTTAAGCCAGTATAAGCACTAGTATTATTAAAGAACATAGTCAATAACAGACAATCTAGCAAACTTGGTTTCTAATGATTGCAACATTCGAAGCATACTTCAAATCTTCCACTAGTCAGCATCATCCATTCTAATGCTCTTCAGAACGTTGATTATCCATTAAGTTCTCCCTAACGTTTTCCACTCTTGTGTCCATGGTCAAGTTGCCAACAGCGTTGGAGTTGGATGATACATGATTTGGCAACATATGCCGGTCGCATCCAGTTATACCCTTCCCCACAATATCCGCGTGAGCAGTTGAATTAGAAGGATTCACCAAATTCTGATGTGTTGTGGAATCACTTCCAAATGGTGCTTTACTATCGTGTTTCCTCTTCTTTGCATCATCATCAAGATGTTGCTTCCTTTTTTTGCTTGATGGCCACACCAGCTTCAATTCTGTCAATCTTCGCTTCATTGTACACCTCGAGACTGCAAATTGTGGTCATTTAAGACCAAGAATCAAAACATAAACTATTTTTATTTAACTACAATTTGCTGAACAAATTCATGGAATTAAAAGCACATAACATAAATTTGTTCTAGGACCAAAATTTTTAATCATAAAGTAACATACCTCCAACTTGTTCTGCAGCTTCTTGGAATGTCATATTTTTGGACCAAAATGATTGAAGCGTCTCTAGTGAAATTTCTTTTCTTTTGTAACCCTTGATGTCATTTTGAAGGGTTTGGTTCTGCTCATGCTCATAATTTCCTTGTTCACTTTCCATAGTTGCAGAGTCACTTTGTATAGCAGGGATACTCTAACTTTCAGGATTTGAATGAAATATTGAATACGTACTGTACTAGTATATGAGAATTGAGAAGCAGCTACCAATTTATAAAAACTTTGAGCCTGAACCTACATTATTCTCCTATTTCTTCCCACCGCCCCCCCCCCCCAAAAAAAAAAAAAAAAAAAAAGTGAGGTGGATAGGGATTGATGAACAACCCATAGAGATTATCAGATTAATAATGCAGCACAGCTATTCTGGACCCCACAATCAACCCTAGTTCACTAAGTTGTACGAAGTATATTGAACCTGAACCTTATTTTCTTAAAAAAAAAAATAATGAAATAAAAACTAGTTGTATTGAACCTGAACCTTGAAAAATAAAAAAAAATAAAAAAAACTTGGACCTCACTAAATAATTACCCATTCACCCGACATTGACCCGGCAATCCTAACCCGATCCATGACCCGAAATTAACCCAAAAATGTTAACCCGAAATTGATCTTATACCCAAATTAACTCGATACCCAAAGCGACCCGAAACCCAAAGTGACGCAACCCGATCTTAACCCTACAGACTCAAAAACAAAAACAACCAGAAATGACCTGACCCATAATTAACATCTTTGTGTGAGAATAACAAGACTCATTTTCCTCTACACTCTGATTCTCTAAGCTTGTACTTCGTAATATTTATTTTATCTCTCTATATTCATAAGATTTATACTTTTATGATATCTCCCATTTCATCACTCTCTAAATACATACGGTGGAAAATATTTTCCTTTAGAAAATAATGGAAATCTTATTTTCTTCCCTCCTTTTACTTCTCTCTTATTAATCCTCACATTACTATTCCTACTTTTAAGAAGGGAAAAAGTAACACGGAGTAACAACATTTAATTACATGAGTCAAAATATGTCAACTATAAGCAATAGTTTTACAGTATTAAACAACATAGTCAATAACAGACAATCTAACAAACTTGGTTCCCAATGATTCAGCAACATTCGAAGCATACTTCAAATCTTCCACACTAGTCAGCATCATCCACGCTTTATCTTCATCTTGATAAAACAATCTATATTTGTTCAAAGCAAGTTGGAACTTCATGCCTGTTTCTTCAATTAGTTGATTAATCGGTAAAGTCAAAGAGAATACAATTCTCACTGAATGCTCCTTGTAAGTGGCTTTTACAACAATAGTGCCTGAACTTTCAGTTGTATGAAGAGCGCCTTCTAGATGCCCTTGGACTTGTTGCTGGATATCCATATGGCTTCCAATTACCATTGGGTCGAAAGTTTCTTCTAGTGTTGCAGCGCGATTACTTTCAGTTGAATGAAGAGCACCCTCCAAATGCCCTTGAGCTTGTTGATGGGTATCCATATGGCTTTCAATTACCATTGGATCGAAAGTTTCTTCTAGTGTCGCAGCGCGATTACATTCAGTTGAATGAAGAGCGCCCTCCAAATGCCCTTGGTCATTTGCACCATCCAGATAATGCTCTTCGCCATGCTGACAATCCATATTGCCTTGAGTATCCATTAAGTTCCCTCTAACGTTTTCCACTATTGTGTCCGGGGCCAAGTTGCCAACAACATCAGAGTTGGATGATACATGATTTGGCAACGTAAGCTGGTTTGCTCCTATTATACGGCCCCCAACAATTTTCGCTTGAGCTGTTGAATTAGTAGGAATCACCAAATTCTGCTGTGTGGAATCACTACCAAATGGTGCTTTACTATTATGTTTCCTCTTCTTTGCATCATCAAGATGTTGCTTTCCTTTTTTGCTTGATGGCCACAACAGCTTCAATTCTTTCAATCTTCGCTTCATTGTAGACCTCGAGACTGCATATTGTGGTCAAGTATGATAAAGAAGCTCAAGCAGTTAATTTTTTTATGGTAATCATCGGGATGACAGGATGTCTATCTCAGTCTTAATGATAAATTAATTTTCAAAAACCATCCTTATAAAGTCATAACCACAAATTTAGTTATGGACCATTAACATTAATTAGGGAATATAGGTAAACAAATATTTTCACGAGTATAAATGTGACCACACTATTTATAAAAGTTCAAAGAGACAATTAACATCAATGAAGACAATTAAGTAAGCAAACATATATAATAGAGGTTCGCACATTGTTAATAAGAGTTTGCTTGAAATTTTTAAAAGGCAGGGATCAAAATTTCACATAATGAACATCTAAAAATTTATCACAAAGTTCTTGTTCCATCACAAAAAATAAAAATATTCATGTACTGGTATTATTCAGTAGAGCAGTAAAGTTATTGAGTTACATCACGACAATTTTTTGTTCATAACAGACAAACATCTCTACAATACTTAGGTCAACTTTGGAGTGTTACACTTAAATCACTCAAATAAATGGAAGCACATTATTAAACAACATAGTCAATAACAGACAATCTAACAAACTTGGTTCCCAATGATTCAGCAACATTCGAAGCATACTTCAAATCTTCCACACTAGTCAGCATCATCCACTCTTTATCTTCATCTTGATAAAGCAATCTATATTTGTTCAACTCAAGTTGGAACTTCATGCCTATTTCTTCAATTAGTTGATTAATCGGTAAAGTCAAAGAGAAAACAATTCTCACTGAAAGCTCCTTGTAAGTGGCTTTTACAACAATTGTGCCTGAACTTTCAGTTGTATGAAGAGCGCCTTCCAGATGCCCTTGGACTTGTTGCTGGATATCCATATGGCTTTCAATTAAGGGCTCTTCCAAATGCAGGTCTGATCCCATTATACACTGCACATTTTCCGTGTGAGCTGCTGAACTACCTAGGTTCACCACATTCTGTTGTGAGCAATAACTTTCAATGGTGCTGTATTGTTTGTTTTCCTCTTCTTTGCATCAGGCTGTTGTTTTCTTCCTTTTCTTGGCCACTTCTCGACACCCAATTCTTTTATTGTTCGTTTCAATGTAGACCTCGATACTGCAAATTGAAGTCAAGTATGATTAATCATTTAGAAAAGCCAAGTATGATACTGCAAATTGAAGTCAAGTATGATAAAGAAGCTCAAGCAGTTAATTTTTTTATGGAAATCATCGGGATGACAGGATGTCTATCTCAGTCTTAATGATAAATTAATTTTCAAAAACCATCCTTATAAAGTCATAACCACAAATTTAGTTATGGACCATTAACATTAATTAGGGAATATAGGTAAACAAATATTTTCACGAGTATAAATGTGACCACACTATTTATAAAAGTTCAAAGAGACAATTAACATCAATGAAGACAATTAAGTAAGCAAACATATATAATTAGAGGTTCGCACATTGTAAATAAGAGTTTGCTTGAAATTATTAAAAGGCAGGGATCAAAATTTCACATGAACATCTAAATTTGCTTAGTTTCCATTTTTATCAACCAAAAAAAAAAAAAATTGTGTAGTGTCCATGATGTAAATTTATGTTACTCCGCACATGGCACAACATTACTCAATGTTTTAATAGTTTTGCTCTAGGAAAAAGTTCTCAATTGAAGTTTTGCATTGAATACAGCATTATTATTCCTTTTGAAATATCAGTGGCATCAATAGAAATTAAAACTTCAATGAATAAACAGATTTTGGCAAGAGTATGTAAATGCAGGTCTCAGATAATTAACAATTCTAATACAAACAAAATGCGATCATGATACCTCCAAATATTTTTTCTGCAGTTTCTTGTAGTGACATCGGGTTTTCGGACCAACATTGTTGTAGCTTCTCTTCAGATATTTCAATTCTACTATTTCTCTCCACCTTATTGTGTTGAGGGACCTGTTTCTGCCCATTTTCTAAATCATGATGACTGTTCTCACCATTATCTTGCTCAATACCACCTTGTGCTGTTGTTATGTGCTCAATAGAGCCCATACTTATACTGTTGAAAGGATCTGCTGATGTCTGCTCATCAGGGACAGTTTCATGAATTTCTACTGTTGGCATTTTGATACGAGAGTTATTCATATGTGTGAAGTATGCATCATCCGTGTCATCAATGATGATAAAAAAAATGCAAGTTATGACATATGAATTACTGGCAACATTTAATTACCTCTAGGAACAACAGTTACTTCATCTTCGCTTTCATCGGAGGCTGAGGCTTGGTAAAGGGAAGCATCATAGGCGTTGCTCTTGTAGTATGCTTCTTCTGTGTCATCGATGATGGACACTTGCTTCAGATTCCTTGGCAATCTTTCAAAGTTAAAACACTTGGGGAGGATTAAGTGTAGTAGATTGCGCAGCTTCACAAAACTAGGAGGAAGGGTCTTGATTCTGGTGACGCTGATATCAAGAGTATGCAAATTGACTAACTCATGTAGATTTGATGGTAGTTTTTCGAGGCTGATACAGTCTTTGAGTTGTAATTCTTGCAAGTTGTGGAGTCTTGCTATATCTTCAGGAAAGAACTCCATTTTAGAACATGTAATGGAGAGTGTCTCCAGGTTGACTAATTTATTCCAACATTTTTCAAAGATACATCTCAGGTCATTATAATCTTTGAAAAACAAAATTTCCAGGTGATGTAGGCCAATAGGAAGTGAGTCAAGTGACTCGAAGGAGCAATCCACAAGCCTGAGTTTGTGAATATACATACATGGTGGCAATGACTCGCAATAATCACAGGAATTGAGATCCAGACTCCTTAAGTTAGTTAACTTTTCCAAGCTATCATAAAGTGGCCTCATATTGCAAGATGATAAAGAGAGATGTTTGAGGCTGACAGGCATATTAAAATTTTCCAAGCTATCATAAATGGATAATCGCAGATGTAGTGTTTGTAAATTGGATAGCTTGCTTAAGCTGTGAATAACGGACTCATCAATTTCAACATCAGAAGAGTCGAGAGAGAGATGTGTAAGCCTTGTGAATGTGACAAAGTAGTTATCCGGGAGGCAAATATGATCAGTGAAGTAGAGATAGAGGTGGGTGAGCTCACTGAATTGCATTATGGAATCTGTTAACTCCTTAACATTTTCCAAGTCCAAAAATCGAACCAACATGAGTAAATTTCTGTTATTAATAATCCATTGCGAAGGATCATCCTCCTTCAATCGGAGATAACCAGGAGGAGATATGATAGAGGGATTTTGAGCTGCATCATTTCTTTATTTCTGCCATTGTAGGAGGGGGAGAGAAGAGATAAGCTTGATTATTACATAGTATAACTACCACGTCAACTAGAACAAACAAATTTGGAGTAAAACTGTAAAAGTAAAAGCATTGGCAATGTAAACTTACCTCCACCAAAAGGAATGGGCAATTCTCCTATCTCTGTTTTAAGTTCCTCCCAGGATTTGCGAACATGCCTATCTTTAACAGAAATGATGACCGAATGATTCAAGTCATATGGCAACGTTTCGAGTCTGAAATGTTCGGGCAACATTAGATGTCGGAGTTTGCGTAGCTTCGTGATGCTCCAAGGAAGACACTTGATTTTGGATGATTGAATATCAAGAAGACATAAATGGGCCAACCCATCCAAATTTGCCGGCAATTCAACCAGGGACTCACAGGAAAAGAGAGATAAAGATGTCAAATTGGATAGATTTGCAATGCTCAAAGGAAGTGACTTTATGTTCTTGCAATATTTAAGTTTGAGGGTAAGGCTCACCAACTGCCCTATATTTGCCGGCAATTCAACAAGGGAATCACAGGAAGAGAGAGTTAAATAAGTCAAATTGGATAGATTTACAATGCTATCAGGAAGGAACTTTATGTTCTCGCAATAATCAAGCTTGAGATGAGTAAGGCTCACCAACTGCCCTATATTTGCCGGCAATTCTTCCAAACAATAACACTTAAAAAATTGCAAGTGCTCCAATTTGTGAAGCCTAGTGATGGTGTTAGACACACATTTCAGGGAATCACAGTACAAGAATTCCAGGCGGATGAGCTGTGTGAGCTCACCTATTGATTCTCCTACCTCTTCCTTTTCATAACAACGCAAGGCTAGACGAGAAGGAGGGTTATTTTTAATCCATGCCTCTGGATCCTCCCTCAATTCCAAGTGACCTTTAGAATCTACTTCTCCGCAAGTTATCATTTCCTTAGCTTCAACAAGAACACCAAAAACCACCTCTTTTAATTTTAATTTCAAACTACAGAAATATAAACTGGGAAATAAAGGAACAAAGAGAGAAGATAAATACTACTCAGTAGTTGCAGCTTTAAGATTCCATCAAGAAATTATCACAACTATCAACTTCAACGTGAACCTCAACCGCAAATAATTAGTTGTGGTTAATAAGAAGAACTAATGACCACATAGATTTATAAATGCATCACAGCTTTTCTGGACCCCACTTAAGTAATTATGCCTTGAACCTGAGCCTCAATGAATTATTATGCATTGAACCTGAACCTCAAGTTATACTTCACTAAGTTAACAGTAACGGCCCATAGTCATACTATGTTGGTATGTTCCTTAAAAAAAAAAAAAAACAACTCT